TTGTCAGCCTCTGGGTCACTGTTTCTGGAGCAGAAAGTTGATTATCATTTTCATTAACATAGGCTCCCTGAGCCCTTCAGGGACACAGGTCTTCCCATCTCCATGGTCTCTCTTCCAACCTAACCCGAACCCACATTAGCTTCTCAAATCCTGACTCTTCACTCTCCTGCTTAGGTTCTGCCACTGGACATGGTGCTGAGCAGAGGACGCTGGCTTATTCAAAGGATCACTATTATACAGGCTATTCTCCATCCAGAGACAGTGAGGTCAGAACGACAAATGTGTGTGTAGGAGTTAACCAACATATTACTAAATAACCCTTGACTCGAAAAAGAAATTTAAAAGTATTTAGAACTGAATAATAGCAAACATACTACATGTCACACACACACACACACGCACACGTGCATGTAAAATCTGATGAAAACTGAAAAAGGCCTGTAAGTTAGTTAAGAGTAATATACCAATGTCAATTTCCTGCTCATATACTACAGTTATACAGAATGTCCCTATGGGGAACCAGAGGAAGGGTTTAAGGGACTCTATAAAAAATTTTTGCAACTTCTTGTAAGCCAATAATCATTTCAACATCAAAAGTTTTTTAAAATACACATCAAAATTTGGGACTCTGATTTCTAAATCAATATTCAGAAGTAAATTTATAATTTAAATACATTTATCAGGAAACAAGAAGAATTACAAAATGTTTATGAATTAACTCAAGAAGTTATATAAGGGACAACAAAGCATCCCCCAAAAAGGGATAGAAATAAAGATGATGACAGAAAGCAATGAAATAGAAAACAACAAAAAAGTATTACAAAAGACTAATATTCATTCTTTGACAATATTACTAAGATAATGCTCTGGCAACTCTAATCAAGAAAAAAAGATGCAAATAAAATACAGAATGAAAAATAAAAATTAACAGACATCACATGTTCTAAGAATAATAAAAGTATCATTAACAACTCTACATTTATAAATTTGAAAACCCAGATGAAGTGGGTAAGTTTCTAAAATAATATGAAGTGCCAAAATTGGCATAAGAGCGTATACAAAGTCTTAAAACGATGAGAATGGTCAAGGATCTCAGGCAAATTGACAAGAAAAAGAGAGCAACCCCAGCAGGGGAATGGACCAAGCATATGAAGAAGCAATCTCAAAAACAAACCAGGGGGCTTCCCTGGTGGCGCAGTGGTTGAGAGTCCGCCTGCCGATGCAGGGGACACGGGTTCGTGCCCTGGTCCGGGAAGATCCCACATGCTGCGGAGCGGCTAGGCCCGTGAGCCATGGCTGCTGAGCCTGTGCGTCCGGAGCCTGTGCTCCGCAACAGGAAAGGCCACAACAGTGAGAGGCCTGCATACCACAAAACAAAACAAAACAAAAAAACAAAAACAAAAACAAAAAAAACCCAGAAAGGCTAACAAGCATATGAAGAAACACCCCAGCTCAACAATAATCAGAGAAATACAATGTATCCAAATGTGCATCTATCAGACTGGCGAGGGATCAGAAAGCTGGAAAAATATGAGCATTGGTAAGACTGTGGGGCTACAGAGACCCTTGTGCACTGCTGCTCATGGGGTAGTTGGGGCCAGGGATAGGGTCCTCTTCTGGACCCTGAGGAAGGGAGGAGTTCTGATCAGTGTCTCAGACCCAAAGTATCATTCATTGTGGGGAGGAGTCTGGCAATACTTAGTCAAATTAGGTTTACAAAGAGCCATCTCTGGTATATCCTAGGTACACATAACAGAGATTTCCACCTTCAACTACAAAGGAACACATATGAGAATGTAGCATTATTGTGGTGACAGTGAGCTGAAGGCAATGTGGGCGTCCCTCCCTGAGACCTAGTGAACATGCAACACGCTGGGGATGCACACCATGGAATATCATGCAGCAGTTAGAAGCAACTGGTTAGATGTACGCATCACATGCACATGGATGGATCATAAAAACAGTGCTGATTATTTTAAATAGTAAATAATGTCATTCGCATAAATTGAAGCATCATGCACATAAAACACCGCACATCTTGCAAGAGCACACACAAACTAAAAGATATGCATTAGCCACCTGAAATGAGTGCCTATGCAACAGTTAGAGAATAAAAGTGGGGAACTGGGGATTACTGGAAATAACTACAACACTGTAGGTTGTACAAAGTTGATAGACTTTGGACTCAAAGACAGACCAACGTTGGAATCTTTACCTCTCCATTGTCTAGCTGTGTAATCTTGTGCATCTTATTGAACTAATTTATAAAATATATTAGTAATATATCTCATAGAGTCATTGTTGAAAATTAATAAGATTATTAGTATAAGGTGCCAGGCAAGAGCTAAGCTCTCCAAAAATGTTGGTCCCCCTATCTCTCTCTCCACTACCTAAAGGTTTAATGTCAATTGCTTTAGCTGGCATTAAAGCATTCCACACACCTTCACCCTTCCTCCCCGAGACTGGCCCCAAACAACCTTTCCAACTTCGTCTAGTACTGCCCCCCTGCACAGCGGTCCAGCCAGAGGTCACTTCTGCCACACTTCTCTGTCCAGAATACCTGACACAGGATCCGTAACCCAGAAATCTGCGGCAAACTAAGAGGCCAAGACCAGCAGAAAAGATGGGACACAGGAAGGGGAAATGAAGGCTGACAAAGGATCAAACAAAGGAGTTGGACCAAGCAGAGAAGATGGCACACACCTGCCTGGGAACGCAAAACGACGGGACCCAGCAATCTGAGAACAAGCACGGACACAACCAGAAAAGAGTGGAATGAAATCCTCAAGGAAAAAGGGATGGAGTGGTGGTCAGAGGCGATGCTATCCCTACAAAAGAGAAACCACACAGAGAAGGAGGAGCAAACTGTTGGAATGGAACCTTGCAGGGAGCAGAGACAGCACAATCGGGAGCGGCAGAAAAATGAGGAGTGGGGCACAAGGACCGGGTTCTCAGGGGAGAGAGGAGACAATCTTAGAGGCTCAAAAAGAGAAAAGGAGACAGGGCAGAATGCATAGAGAAAAGGGGACACCACAGAGAATGGGGAGGGAAACCGTGAGATGGGTCTAGTAGAGATGCACAGAGAAGGCTACAATTAGAGAGTGGAGCACCGAGAATGGGGTGCAATCCAGGAGGAAGATGAACACAGAGGTGGAAAGGGCTAAAAAGACAGAAAAACCACAGAAGCGTCTCGGGAATCGAAAGGAGGATGGGAGGGGCAGGAGTCCAGGCTATGAGGGAATGAGGCACGTGGAGAAAGAGGTTCCGAAAATCAGCAGGATGAACAGGCAGAGAGAGAGGCTCTCAGAGATGGAAGAAGTCAGAGTTAGGAAAATCAGCACCAGCGCGGACGATAAGAGACACAAGGAATGGGGCTCAGCGTGAGAAGGTGGGACCCAGGAAGGAAACAGGGCTATCACAGCACGGGGAACATGAAAGGAGAAAGGTAGATCGGGAGTTGGGCAGCGGGAGAGAAGTGCGAAAACACGGGCGTCCACACAGCAAAGAGTAGCCGCCCGCGCAGAGTCGAAGACAAACGCTCAAGAGGCGCCAACCCTGCAGTGCAGGCCGGAGGGCGAGACTGCGCGTGCGCGGGAGGGCGGGCCGGGCAGCCGTTCCTGGGGGGCAGGGCCAGCCTAGGCCTGGAAGCGTTACTCGACGCCCCATTGGCCACCTCCCCAAAAAGGGAAAGAACAGTCTGGGAAGGCGAATCACACGAGGAGGGAGAGGCGGCGCGAGACTCAACTCGACGCTCTATTGGCTGGCCTGATAGTCTGGCGCGAGGAGAAGCGGGCCGGAGGTAAAGTGAAGGATCTTGAAGCGCACTGGTCGCTCGCCTCGGCGGCAGAAGGCGCCGCTTGAAGCTCATTGGTCCTTGTAAGAAGGGGCGGGAAAAGTGGCGCGAGCGAGGCCATTCCTCACACCACTGCCTCACCACCTTCTTTCGCCTCCTCCTGAGTCTGACTCCACTCGAGGCTGTGGTAACCGCCGGCTGACGACGCGAACGCGACCCCGCCCCTCCCGTCTCTTCCCCTCCCTGTCTTGCGCTGGACTCCCCGCCCCAGACCTCCCCTCGCCTCCCCACTAACGGTCCTCGCGGCCCCTTCGCCCATCCCCCGCCGCGGCCCCTGGGCGCGCTCCCCGAGCCCCGACCCCTCTCTGGGACCCTGGAGCGGGGCGAGGCCGCGGGGACAGCTGCAGAAGGGGGTGCACGCGAGGAACAGATGCATGGGGAGGTGTGGCGGGCGCGGTTCGAGGCTGCTTGTTGGGAATGGGCGAAGGCGCATAAAGGCCGGGCGCAGCAACGACGCGGGTTTGCCTTAGTTTGGAAGGCGTGTGGGTGCAAGAGAGGAATTTGGGCCGTGGGGAGGGGGCTTTGGGCCTAGATCAGGGCCTGGCACATGGAAGGGGCTCAGTAAACCTTTGCTGAAGGAATGAAAATAATTCTTGAAAGTGAGGCAAGGGATCCATGAGAATGATGTAGTTACTGAGGTGCAAGGGACTGTGGTCTGATTAAAAGGGCTGCGGGGGAGAGATTGAATTGCAGGGCATACGTGAGGCTAAGAATTGAAAGGGGAGCATAAACGTTATGTGTGGGAATTGGATAAATGCAGGAGGGAAGGATGATAATTGTTGGAGAGAATGCCAGGGAAACTGTGGGAATGGGGTGTTGGTGGAAGGCGGGTGTAAGAACTGCTGCAGAGGGCATGAGAGTGCGCGAGTATGCCCCAAACTGGGTTTTCTGCCTGGAAAGGAACATGTGAGCGGAGAATAATGTTTGGATCGAAAGATACATAAGAAAGGAAAGAGAGGTTCTTGGGAAGGATGATGCCTGAGGAAAGTGAAGAAGAAGAAAGCCAGGGGAGACTCAAGGGTGACAGCTGAGTCCAGGAGTGGGCGAAATGGAAAAATCCTTCAGGCGTGGCCTCCCAGAGGCAAGAGGGCTGGTCAGGAGAGGGCCCACGTGTCCACCCTGACCCTCCACTTCTGCCCCTAGATACATGGAACCCAATGAAATGCCTGCTGTCCACCACTGCCCCTCAGACTCTGCCACAGGGGGTGAGACTAGAGCCCCCCAGGGCATGGAGCTCATCCCCAGGAGAGCTGTCAGTCGCTCTCCAACCTGCGCCCGCTGCCGCAGTCATGGTGTCACTGCCCACCTCAAGGGCCACAAGCGCCTCTGCCTCTTTCAGGCTTGCAAGTGCCACAAATGTGTCCTCATCTTGTGAGTATGAGATCCAGGGAAGGGAGAGGATGGGCCTCATCTAAAAGGCGGCTGACTTGACTTCTGACTCGCCACCCCCGTCTTTAGGGAGCGCCGAAGAGTCATGGCTGCCCAGGTGGCCCTGCGTAGGCAGGAGGAGGCGCAGCTGAAGCGGCACCTGGCTCAGGGACTGATGAGGAAAGGGACGGCTCCTCCCAAAGCTCCCAGCAGTGTCAAGAAGGGAGTCACTCAACCAAGGGTCCACCGTGAGTGTCTCTGGCCAGGGCCAGGGCAGAAATGTGGGCAGGGAAAGCCTAAGTAGGAAAAAGAGTCCCAGTCCTGCCACTGAACTGGTGCGTGACCTGGGGCAAGGTGTTTCTGTTCTCTGGGCCTCACGCTCCCCAACTATAAAATGTGATTAAGTGTTGGGAGGATGCGGTGAGGTCTGTGGGTAGAAATGGGACAGAGGGAGATAATTCAGTTTGGGGTTGGAGTGGGATGGCCCTCATGAGAAAGAGCTCACCAAAGCGCTCCCTGGTCTCTCACAGCTGGAAAGGAGAACATAGCACCCCAGCCTCAGGCTCCTCATAGGGCAGTCCCACTGGCACTGACACCCCCTGAGAAGGTAAGGAAAAACTGGGCCCTGAGGGGACCCCTGTCTTAGCTCCTGCCCAGATCCCTTCCTCTATGCCTTCAGCACCTGGGTTCTAGGTCCAGCCCTGAATTGCTGTGTCATCTTGGGCAAATCACTTCTATTCCATGGACAAAATGAGGGGGTGGGATTTTATGGCCCTTCAAGCTCTAAAGTTTTAGGGTCCTACCTACATCTTGGAACACACCCATTCCTTCTCCAGCCTTGTACCTAACTCCAACCTATGCCCCCTGCAGGAGAACTCCCAGGGGCCTGTGCTGCTCAGCTGTCTCCCAGAAGCCTTGCCTTTGCCCTGGACTCCAGTGCCTCCAGGCCCTTTGGCCACTGGACACTGGCTGCCTCCAGGCCTTTCCGTACCAACCCCAGTGGTGTGCCGCTTGCTATGCCAAGAACCTGCTGTCCCTCTGCATCCTTTCCCTGGTAAGATGAATTCAACATTAATTCAAGAGACATGTGAATGACTAGGTACCACTGTATCAGGAAGACAAGAGGAAAAAGATACAGGGTAGGAAGAGGGAAGACAAGCCATGACCTCTGCATACGCTCTGCATTCTCTTACCCTCATTAGGCTTTGACCGTGGCACTGCCCTCTGGCTGCCCACTCATGGGCCCCTCCCAGCCTGCTCAGGATCTCGCCCAATACTGATGGCTCCTCCTTCTGGAGAATCCCAAGGACCCTCTACCCTGCCCCACACGTGAGTAGGGAGAAAAAGATATGTGTTTATGATGTGCCTAACCCTGTGCTGGATACCATAGTAGATGATAAAGAAGAAGAAAAGGTCTCAGACTAGTGGGTGAGGCAGAGCCCTCCTAGCTCTGCCATTGCCTAGCTGTGAACCTTTGTACAAGTATCTTTACCTCTCTGAGCCTTTTTTTCTGTCAGTAAATCGGAGACACTACTACTTCTTGGTAAGAATTAGAATTAGCAACAATATATGGAATACACCTAGCACAAGCCCTGGCCTTAAACACATAGTGGCTATTAAATCCACTTAAACAGATAAGATAGGGTTGAACTGCCTGCTGAAGTGGGAGGGGCGGGGGTGGGGGACGACATGATGCTAAGAGCCTCAGAGGCCTAGGAGAGAGGCCAAAGGCCATTAGAGAAAGCTTCCTAAAGGTGGGCCAAGCTGCTCCTCAAGTTCCATGGCGATTGGGGAACTAGGAGGGAAGGAAACCAGACTCTGGTAGGGCAGGAACAGTCACCCCAATCCCTCTAGATGTTTTGTCAGTTTTTTTTTTAGCTGATACCAATTATTTCCCATAATCCTCACAGTAGCCCTGGTAGGAAGAAGCTGACAGATATTTTCATTTTACAGAAAACAAAGCAGGCCATAACAGAGGAGGGGACTTGCCCAAGGCCACAAAGCCTAATGACCCGGCAGGCACTCAGATTCCCAGATCAGAACATAGCAAAATCCTGCCCCTGTTTCCACGTGTACCTGTCTGTCCATGTTTAATCCCCCTGGCATCTTTTCTCCTTATTTCCAGATGCTCGACTCTGATACTTCAGCCCTGTGGCACCCCAGACCCCCTTCCGCTGCAGCCACAGGTCCTGGGGAAGAAGTGGGATCCAGGACCCTGGGAGGAAGTTGAGCTTGGGGAAGGGAAGAGTAGGGGATAATGAAGTAACCAGGGGCAGAGGGAGCACCTGGAGGGTGGGCAGAAGTGGGGATTCCCAGTCTGCTTCTCTCCCTTTCCTTTGCAGGCCCCCAGAGCCTCTCGCCTGGACTGGACCTCTGACCCCTCAGAGTGGCAGCTGCAGTGGGAGGCAGCCGAGGCTCTTATGGGACTGAAAGATTCGTTACAGGCTCCCCGCCTGACCCCTTCTGGTCCTTCTAACCGTGGCTGGATTTCCCTGCTCCACCCCTGTGGCCCACCAGGTAACCTGTTCCTTAAAAGGAGAGGATGGGATAGGCATGACTGAGAAATGGAGGTACTGGAGTAAGCAGGGACTAACCAAGTAGATCAGGAAGTCACAAGTTCAAGATCCCAGGCCCAGGCGCAAGCTTTTCAACCTATAGCCTCTGGGATTACAGTTGAGAGTTATTCAGTGAATCTGTTTTATCCTTTTTGTACTCAAAAGCAAATGTCCAGTGCCCTGATGTCAAGGAAAGTGAGGCCCTGAGAGGGGCAGGGACTTGCCTGAGTGCATATAGCAAGACAGTGGCAAAGCCTGTTCTGACTCCAGCCCAAGGCTTTTTCTCTGGACCCAAACTGCCTGCTGAAGTCTGGAGAGGGGCTGAAGAGGTAACAAGGGTCTGGCCTGGAAGGAGATTTGATAACTGCCTTCAAGGAGCTTCCATTCTATTTGGGAAACCTGGATGCTTTCAGAAAGCTCAGTGACAAACCTGGAGAGAACTAGAGGAATCTTGAGGCATGAGAAACACCTATGGGGACAGAGAGGGAAGGCTGAGATTTCTCCTCTCCAAAATGGTGGATTGGACATGCTGTGTGGGACTGGAGGGACTGCTGGAACAGAAGCAGATGAGTATGGAGGGGCTTCTGATCATGGAGGTCTGGCATGCCAGGCTTGGGCATCTAGACGAGCACCTGTATCTGAAGGGGAGCAACGGAATGTTTCTGAGTAAGGGACATATTCTGAATCCCTGAGCTTTAGAAAGACAAGTATGGTGGCTGTGATGGAGGGATTGGATGAGGCAAGACTAGAAGTGGGAAAATCAGTGAGGAGGAAGTGTTTGCTATAATCCAGGTAAAGAAAGATGGGCCTGGATTAGATGGGGTAAAAAGAGAGGGTTTGCTGGGAGGGGAAATAGATGTGACCTGGTCCTGCCCCCTTCCTTCCTGTCTGTAGCTCCTGCTTAAGCACGAGGG